TGGTTGGATATACGGCAAATCATATGATGCGCCTGACGGACTGGCAGAATGAAAGCAAAAAAAAAACATACTTGCCGCTTCTGCATCGCGTACTTCCATCGCCATTCTAAACATGAATGGCGGAAGCGGGATCTGTGTATACTCGGCCACCTGAACTGATGCATAAGTAATACAAAGAGAATTATAAATCTGGGGATGCCCAGGACAGTACCAAAAATGAAAAGTACATTCCAACTGCCTTCACACTGTAGAATCTTTCCGAAAAATAAAGTTGATGAATTGCAGAAATAGTGTAACTGCGAATTCCCGGGAATTTGCGAAAATGGAAGTATTCTGCGCACGGAATGTGCCTTTTTTAATGACCACCTTCACTCATCTCTGTTTCTTGGACAGTAAGATGCACAGTGTGCCACCCCTGGGTGTCATTTTCAAACTAGCCACAGTATCTCTGACGGCCTGCAAGAAGAAAACTGGAACTAACCGTGACAATTTCGTTCGCTAAAACTTTGTCAGTCTTCGGATTAACGAAGGACGTGACTTTACTGCGCGCGAACCGTATGCGCTGCGTATAGGGTTGCAGATGTGACGGCATATCGTAATTAATCACCTGAAAAAGAGGAAAGGCAAAGAAAGTGATGAGTTCTCACTGAACATTACCGCAAAAAAAAGCGAGATACATCGTTGCTGTTATCTAAGCGCATCAAATCACCAGTGTGTGGTAAGCGAGCTGAAGCTCATTCTTTGCGCTGGCCAGCTCAAGCAAATCGAAGCGTCCGTTTACTGCCTCATTCGAGCCAATTTTGCTAAAAGCATCTGTCAGCTGACAGATAGAATCAACGCTGCACACTCTGTCGGATGCAGAAGGCCAACAGGCCACATAAGCCACTGTGATTGATGAGTATTTGGCAGTATCAACTGCAACTTGCAAAATTTGCGAAAATGACCGAATCTATAAATTACCAGTCAAAAAATACAATATTCAGTCACCAAGAACATGCAAAACTCGCACTGGAACGAGGCAGAAGCATCTTCAAATTGATCTTAATTTATGCTCAAGTGACTGCAGGCAAACTAACTGACATGGTCAGGACTCAGCATCTGAAACTCAGGATCAGACATATCGGTAGCGGCGAGCAAGCAAACAGCACCGCTCCGAAATTCTTCAAGCGCTTCCTTACGTTGCTTTGCATTTCGATCGCTGAAATTTGAAAATACCTCGACAAAAGTTGGCGACCGAACAAGATGAACATGAGTTAAAAATAACCTTAATTTTCACTCGCTTATGCCAAATGCGACTTCACAGGAACACAGGGATGCATTATGCCCAGCATGCAGCCTTTGGGCCCCGTACCGTGCGGTACAAAACTTTGCATTATGCTATTGCTAAATGAGGGCCCAATTTCACTGCCCAGCCCAAAATCACGGAAAACAGCCTCGACGTAATGAAAAAGACAAAGTTACCCATGGATAATGGTTAAAGAAATCACCCCATGCTTGGCAAAGGACAAAATTTCCTCTGCAGTCACTTTGTAGGAATGGCAGAGCCGCTCAGAAGTAGCCCGTTTGGTAGCACATTTCAGCAGCAACCACCGGTTAGTGAAGCAGTTGAGGGCCTTTTCTCTCAAGGACTGGTTTAGAAGCAATTCGCTGGCAAGTTGGACTTCCGTCATATGCCAGCACCAATTCAATATCGATAGGAATGAACGAATCCTAGAAGGACTGGCTTTCCAGTAGCGGAACCCTCGATCTCGGTACGAGACCAGTGCCACTTGCCACTACGCCATGCGTGCGTTATCAGCCCAGCGTCGAATCGTGAAACAACGCCACTGGGGCGATAAAATATGCAAGGTTACCCGTGAATGCTTATTGAAGGAAATTCTCTTTGTGCGCAATAAATGGCTATAACGTCAGCCATTCTTTTATTTTTCACGAATACCAAGGTACTGCGCAACACTCCACAGTTGCGTGCCTTCTCATCGTCCAAAATATATTGTAACGCATCTATTTTTTCCGAATTTCCCACCTGAAATGAGCGCGAAAGAACGATTGTGGCGTCTTCATCTGTAGGACAACCCTGAGGTGTCTCCCCACCCAAAAACAACCCCCCAGAACTCCAAATGACAAAAGTGCGTTTACGCTGAACTGGCAGAAGTCTCTCAGATGCGAGCGACGACGTAGTCTTCCTGAGCTTCATCCGCCGCGGACTGCTTCCATCCGTTCTTTATATTTGTTCTATCGTCCTCGGGTTTCTTCACTTAGCAGGCTCGCCACGAAACCCCGGTTATGCAATTTTGAGTTGCGTTTCGCTCATGCCACTATATCAATGCCTTTCTTCTCCGGTGCCTGGTAAGTGCGAAGTGCTGCTAACAAGGTGGGAGGTTTCTTCCTTTCAAAGGCTGAAGTAAGCTTTAATCCACCGGTCCATTCTTCTCCCTTCATTGACCTTATCCTCAACAAGATTTCTGGTCAGCAGGGTTCAGATGTTTCTGGAAAAATGCGAAAAGCTAGCGCAGGGGCCCTTGTTCAGTGATTTTCACTTATAGTGCACTTCACATATACTACATATAGCTGCACTTCTACCTCAAGCACGGCGCAGTAGCCCCAGAAGCCAATGAATCCTGGGACACCGATCAGCATGCTTTATGGGATTGCTGGCTGTTACGTGGATCGACAAAGCAGAGTTCCAAGCACTTCGCGATGTCGATGGAGAAGACTCGAACCGCGCGCCAAAAGAAATCATCATGAGCAACTCAAAGCAAAGCAAACTGAAGTGAATCAAGAGTTACGCTGATAAAATGTTGCGAAAACGGAAAACCGGTGGTCCAGGCCGCGTCAACTGGATAAGGTTCCTTTTCTTTCCAATATTTTCGCGTCTTGAAGGTTCCGTTTGGAGCTCTTTTGCCTCTCATATTCGCCTGCAACCAGTCGGCAAATTCAGACGCCAAAAAAACAAGCAATCCTGAGAATACGCCTTCGCGACACAGTGACACGAACGCACACCATTAAGAAAATCCGGCCAGAGCACCTCTAGACCAAGCTGACGTCAGCACAATACCTCAGCCACTCGCCCAGTTTAACCATCCCAGACCGAAGAGGTAAACTTCACACTGCAATCCCTGCCTGTACCACATACTCTGCCAAGTCGCTGAACACCGCCCGAGTGGTCTACTTCCTGAAAGGCAGAAAGTGTGGCGTTTATTCACTTACTCGAAGTGAACGAAGTTACCATAAGTTAACACCGAATGTCCGCACATTCGGCACTTTGCTTTTTCTGTGTTTTGCAGTTACAACCCAGGCTGGAACACCGAGCGGGCCCGTGCGATCATGCGTTTTTGCACCGGACTTGAATTACTCAGGTCATTAACTGTACGAATGGCTGTTGCCTCACAATTATCTTTTGCGGTCAGCAGTATAAATCACCACAAATTTTGCAAAGTAAACGTATAATTTTCATTTAACAGTCGTTCTTTAAAAGTAACCTAGTTGTTTAGTGAGAAATTTTTGCGTCAAGACTTTAAAGCGCTCGTACGTAAGAACAACGCACACCTCAACGCCGAATTTGAAATACTTAAGTTTTACTTGGGCAGGGAACATTCCCTCAAAATTTCAGTCCTCCAGCTTTTCTGGTTACCGAGTTAGCAGTTTTCCCGCCAAAACCCTCACACACCTGTGCTTGGGCATTCCACGTGCTTGGAAAGCTGAATTTAAAATTTTTAAATTGCATATGGACAGGGAACATCGGCCTAAAATTTTAGCCTTCCAGCTCTTCTGATTGCCGAGTTAGTAATTTTCCTCCAGAAACTTTAATATGCCCTTACATGTGTACCATGCATAGCTTGGGGCTGAATTTGAAATATTTGAGTTGTACTTCGATAGGGAACACTTCTCCAAAATTTCAGCTTTCTAGCTTTCCTGGTAGCCGAGTTAGCAATTTTCCCCCTAAAACTTTCATACGCCCTTACGTGAGTACACGTACAGCTAGGGGCTGAATTTGAAATCTTTAGCTAGTACATGCACAGGGAATATCCCTACAAAGTTTCAGCCCCTTAGCTCGTCGAAATTCCTTTAGCTAGTACATGCACAGGGAATATCCCTACAAAGTTTCAGCCCCTTAGCGATTGGTTCCCTAGATCGCTTTCCCGCCAAAAAATTTGCATATTTTCCCCCTAAAACTTTCAAACGCCCTTGCGCGCGTACCACGCACATCTGGAAGCTGAATTTGAAATCTTTAGCTAGTACGTGCATCGCTCTTACGTGGATACCACGCATACCTGGTGGCTGAATTTGAAATCTCCCCCTAAAACTTTCATACGCTCTAACGTGGGTACCATGCATACCTGGGGGCTGAATTTGATACCTAGCCACTGACTTTCATACGCTCTAACGTGGGTACCACGCTTACCTGGGGGCTGAATTTGATACCTCTAGCCACTACATGCACAGGGTATCCCTACAAAGTTTCAGCCCCTTAGCTCGTGTGGTTCCCGAGATCGCTTTCCCGCCAAAAAATTTGTATATTTTTTTAAAACGTTCGTACGCGGCACCCAAGCGTCCAAGGGGGATGAAATTAAAACGGGAGGGTCGCGCATGGTATAGGC